TTAAATATATATATATGGGGCTCATTTTAGATTCCTTATCCACGAAATCTCCTAATCATCATCTCTCTTCCTCCGCCAAACACATTGTTTAACACACACAGACCAATCATCAAGTAGAGAAACACAACAGACAATGATGCTACCAAATCCAAAACCCTCGGCAAAATTTCTACCGTCGCCTTTAGAGCCACCGCAACACAGCCGGAGAATCACCGGAGGAGCCTCTCCGTCGCTCGAACTTAACTGCAAACTATCACGCCGGAATCTAAGTAAATCCTCGTTGCTTCTACTCATCGCTACTCAAACTACATTGACGCCATTACTCGACCTCTCCAAAGCTCAAGCAGATACAATTTCTCCAGAAATCGATAATTATTCAACAAATTGCAGAAACAGAGTAAGTAAATGCTAATAACTTGATTTCAATTGTTGTTTATTCGATTTCGTTTCTGATTTCCCCAAATTTTGGTCGAAGATTCCGACGAAGAAAGGATTCATCGACGTATCGATCGCCGGAGAACCAATCGGACGAATCGTAATCGGTTTATACGGAGACGATGTACCGGCGGGAACAGCTAGATTCGGTAGTTTCGTAAGCGGGAAAGCCGGAATTAGTTACCGAAGAAAAGAGTTCGTTAAAATCATGCCTGGTTACGTTCAGCACGGCGGAATCAGATCGTACGGCGTCGACGCAGAGAGAGCCACCGCCGCGTCCGGCACTCTCCAAAATTTGATCGAAGAATGGGAGAGAGGGAAAAGAGGAGAGAGATGTGGAGAAGTTAAGGCGGGAAGTGTTGGAATCGTTGTGAGAGATCCGTCGAAACCGCCGCCGAAGACGAAGATTGTGGCGAGGAACGGGAAGCTTGTGGTGGAAGAAGAGGAAATCGCGGTGGGACCGAACGGAACGGAGTTTGTTATAACGGCAGTTGATTCGCCGGAGCTGGAGGAATCGGTGTTGGTGATTGGGAAAGTGTTGGAAGGAATGGAAGTTGTGGAGAAGATGAGAGAAGTTAAGACAGTGAGGGATAATACAAGTTCTCCTTATTTCAGGTAAAAAAGTTTTGAATATTTGACCGTTGGATTTTTGAATTGTTTTGTTTTTTAGATTTGTGGTAATAATTTTGTTGTTGCGGTTGCGGTTGTGGTGCGAACAGGGTGGCTAAAGTGATCGGAGATAAGAGAGCGGTGGTGGCGGAGAGAGGGTTTAATCGGCCTTATTCAAAAGTTGTAGTCACCAATTGTGGTCTCATGGAGTCAGAGTCTCAATGAGCTCATGCCTTATTTTAATGCTTAGTGTAAACCTTTTTTTGTAACTATGGCTAAATTTGGTCCATCGCATAGGTCTATTTGTTTATCAACCATTGAGTTTGTTGCGAAAGTTTTTGCCGAAGTCTTCTCTCTATGAAATCAGTTTCATATGCTTAGTGTAAACCCTTTTTAAAGTAAAAGTCAATTGGCGCATGAGCAATAGATCGTGATTAGGTATGCTATTTCTCCTTCAAGACGAATAAGGCTCTGTAGTTTATCTTTTTATCAGGTCTCTTTGGATCAGTCATTTTTTGGTTATCACCTTTTTATTTTGGTTTACTTACGTATGTTTAAGTTCTGTTAGTGTCTCTAGTCTCGTTTGATAAATATTTCTCTGTTTTGGGTTTCTCGCTCCGGAGATTTCGTTATACACTTATACTCCGCTGATTTGTATAATTCCGTTCGATGAATCTTAGAAATCAAAACTTTTAGATGCAACCAACC